CCCCCCCCCCCCCCTCCCCCGCCAACTGTTCAACCCTCGCACTCACGCACATGCAAAACGTGCGTTCGCTTTCCCTCACGACAGGACGCCTCGTCGGAATACGTGGCGTTGATGAAGACGGAGGCGGGCGTGGACAAGGTGCCCGTCATTACCGTAGAGGAGGACCCGGCCAAGTGCCTCTCGGCCAACTGGTAAGGAAACCCCCAAGCACGTCACCGTTTGAAGTGATACAGAGAAGATTTTTGGTTGTGAAGACTCGACAGCGTGCATGTGGGTGGTGATTTCGAGGGAAGAAAGAGAGAGAGAAAATCGTGCTCGAAAGGGGCGTTGCAGGAGGCGTCCGTCCGTCCTGAACGGACACAAGAGATTGACGGATTACCTCTCTTGTGTTGAGATACTCTTGTGTAGGCCTCTTGCCGCCTACGTAGATCCATTACCCATCCCTGGGGTCAATTGAGACTGTGCTCAAAAGAATAGGAACGACTGTGGTGGGCGAGGGTGAAGCCGTAGAAGCTGTGGCATCGAGCAAAACATATTCGAACAGTCACGAACCCAGAAGGGGTCTGTGCAACAGAGGTAAGGCCGCGCGTCAGTTCTGTGTCATCAGTTGCTTGTTGAAGGAATCAATCATCGTACAACGGACACAAGCATTATCTATGCGTCAAAGTTGAGTCCTTTTGACCTGTACCAGGTTTGTAAGACATCGGTCTGTCCAGCATCAGATTGTCTTCCCACCACCACCGTCGTCGTTGGTGTTGTTCGTACCCCAAGAAATTCAGCGGTCGCAGTACAGATGGCGCCCGCTCTTACGAACCGCTCATGGTGGCCAAGGCCTGATGCTTCTTGGCTGCCTCAAATTGAGCACCTGTTGTTATTTTCAAACTTCTTGTTTCGAGCAGGCATATCCGTATGACACAAGGGGTTCTTGTTCTTCTGTGCCGAGGGGCCCATTCGGACATTCGGAGGACTTTTTTCTTTTCTGGGTGGATTCAGCATGACACTTGAGAGCATGTTAATAAAACATAACAGAAGGTCGCTCAACAGAGACCTCTGGAATATCGACGTACCGCAGATCACGATAGGGTAGAGTTTAATACAGACGCGGTATCGCCTGAACAAAAAACGCATCGGAGCATACACGTTGAACCATGTAGAGGTCGTTCAGGGTCACGTTCGGCGTGATTGCCCCCCCTGCTCTGTCTGACGCCCGTCGTAGCTACATTGCGACTTTTACCCTCCTCGTCGAATGCCGGACCTCCTCCCTGCTCTACGGCGCACTCCCCTCAAGCAAAGCCCACCATCTTACCACCGCACCCACATCTTCACTGTGCTTGTCCAACGGCATTCATGCGGCGCGTCTTTGGTCTGCATGTAGCTCGACATGCATACGGTAGTCGTAAAGGTGGCGGGTACGCTCCTGAGACGGCCGCAGCCCATGCTCAGCTTTACGAGTACTCCACATACAGCAACGAACTGTCAAGAGCAGCGGATTTGGATGNCGGACCTCCTCCCTGCTCTACGGCGCACTCCCCTCAAGCAAAGCCCACCATCTTACCACCGCACCCACATCTTCACTGTGCTTGTCCAACGGCATTCATGCGGCGCGTCTTTGGTCTGCATGTAGCTCGACATGCATACGGTAGTCGTAAAGGTGGCGGGTACGCTCCTGAGACGGCCGCAGCCCATGCTCAGCTTTACGAGTACTCCACATACAGCAACGAACTGTCAAGAGCAGCGGATTTGGATGTAGACGCTTGAATTCGAAAACTGGTGGGTGCGACGAAGGAAGAGGTGTCGGCAAGCTTTCGTCGTCCCCGCGCCGACTCGATGGCCTCCCAGTCTGACTTCGTGCNCATCTTCACTGTGCTTGTCCAACGGCATTCATGCGGCGCGTCTTTGGTCTGCATGTAGCTCGACATGCATACGGTAGTCGTAAAGGTGGCGGGTACGCTCCTGAGACGGCCGCAGCCCATGCTCAGCTTTACGAGTACTCCACATACAGCAACGAACTGTCAAGAGCAGCGGATTTGGATGTAGACGCTTGAATTCGAAAACTGGTGGGTGCGACGAAGGAAGAGGTGTCGGCAAGCTTTCGTCGTCCCCGCGCCGACTCGATGGCCTCCCAGTCTGACTTCGTGCGCAGTTGCCAGCAATGACATGTTCTTTGATGGCCTCTAAGTGTCGATCAAGAATTACACCTCCTTTCAACTTTGACAGCTGGCCGAGCTCTTTCAATATTTCAAGGGGTGAAGATATGGCTCTCGTGCATGGCATGCAGCGTGGCAGGCACCCCAATGATGAGCGATGAGGGGCATGCCTTGTACAACAAAGCTAAGCGCCTACCCCCCCCCCCCCCCCCCCCCCCCCCCCCCCCCCCCCCCCCCCCCCCCCCCCNNNCCCCCCCCCCCCCCCCTCCGCATCGACCAAGGTAAAATGTGAACGTGGCTCCGAGTGCGAACACCGGGTTCATGTAGTTGCGGAATGTCTGTTGTACAAGGAGAGGATATTTTACGTGACTGAGCCTTGGGAAAAGTATAAGGAAGATGCAGGGAGATGCTTGAGGCATGGAATACCAGCTAGGTAGCCGTACTGGGGCGTAGAACGTGGGTTGAAGAGGCGGGACCTAATATCGATAAAATAGATAGGCTAGGGACAACATTTTTTGAGACACCTTTTTTTTCGGTAAAGTAGGAGGGGACGATTGGCAAATCGGTCTTCGGTCCTGTGGGAACAATACTCCGTCCTCGGCCCGGACGCGTGGTCAATGGTCTAACCACTAAGNCCCCCCCCCCCCCCCCCCCTCCGCACCAGTATTGTTTGAAACGGAGATCCCCTTCCTCGTCGCTGATCTGAAAGTGCCGGTGGGTGGGGTCACCGGACACCCCGTTAGTCACCCCTCACCACCTTCACGAGTTCTATTCTTGCAGTTGCCACTTTTTTGGGGGTCTGTTCTTATCCGAAGGCGGTTTGTTAAACCACAAATACGGGTTCTTGTTCTTAAGACCACATCGGAACTGAGCACGTGTTCTTATGGCCAAGTTCTTAACTGTTGACTTGTTCGAGGCTGCATTTTCAACTGCTAAGTTCTGAAGTGCGAGCGCCATCTGCATACTGCGACTGCAGCGTCTCCCCCCCCCCCCCCTCTCCCGTCGCTCTGTCGTCCCCCTTCCTCTTGTCTGTTTGCTTTGCTTGTTGTATTCTCCGCTTCGCGATGCAACAGCCCCGGCGGCGTGGCCGTGTCGGCCGCGAACGGACGCATCGTGTGCGACAACACCTTGAGCTCTCGACTGACCGTCATCTACTCGGAGCTCTTGCCCAAGATCCGCGGCCTCCTATTCCCCAACGCCTAGGCATACCTAGTAGTTTGGTAGCATGTTTTTTTTTTTTTTTTTGCCGTGTGCGAAAAAGAAGAAAGCAGTTTGCAAATCTCTGTTAGCTCACCCTCCCCACCCACCCCCGCCCTTGTGGCGGTCGCAGCAGAGTGGCCCAAGACTGCTTTGTAGCGGAGCGCGTTAGTAGGCCGCGGGTGGCGTGGAAGAAAATATGCCAGGCGGGGGGCCGGGTTGGGGTGCCAACGGAAATGAGGCGGGAGTAGTTGGGCGGGTGGAGAGAGTGGGACAGAAATAGGGTTACATACAAACGGTTTTTGGATGCCGCTTTTTTCGAGCGTCGAGTTGTATTTTCTCGTACTCCCCTGGGGAAGTAAGCCTTGGGCCAGTGTGCTGCGCAATTCCTAGCTATTGGTAGATTCCGGAGATTCCGTCATTATTTGGCGCTCGCCCGCTGCTGTTACCACTCAAGAAAACCTCGACGGTCACGGAACGGTTTGGCTGGTCGGACCCGAGGTATTTCTTTGTCTATGTCGAGAGTCCACGCTGTTGTCACGTGGGGCTCTGTTTTTTGCGATCCCTGAAGAAGCCGAAGGCGTGTATAATGTTTTTGTGGAAGTTCAATCCAGGAGGCCTTTCGGAAATCTGTTATGGGTAAGTTGGCGCACACGCCCAGCCAATTCGATGGGGTCAGTTTGTTTTTTTGTCTCCAAGGAAACCAGCCACTGCTGTAGCTGCCAGCCCTCGGAGACGAGACGAGGCGAGGGAACTCAATTCGCACACCTATTGTTGAGCGCGGTGTGTACCAAGCAGCCTGTTGCTTGTTTCGATTGTTGACGCCCCACTCGAGGTTGTCGCAGCTGAGAAAATCGCGAGTTCTCTCGCTGGCAAAGCAAGTGCACGTGCTTAGCGGAGCTTGCAGCCATAAAACGATTCGCGGCGTCCTACATCTTCCTTGGTCTTTCTAATCCCACGCTCTGCACCCGTGCCGGTGGCGGCGAGAGGGTAAGTACACCGGGGCGGCTGAAGGCTGCTACTCCTATGACAAGCCGGCATTCAACGTGCGGGACCAAACCGCTAGCGGCCGGAGGCCAACGTACTTTCTGAAGGATCCGTCTTATACAGGTCTGTCTGTCTTGTTAATAACTACCGCGTTTGTGGAGAAGTGACTGGGCGTCCCTCCGTGCCCGTTTCACATTCTTCACCCAACAGTACATTCAGACCGCCCCCCCCCCACCCCACCGTTTCTCTAAGGACCGAAAACTTGTGTTTCCGAGGGCGGAGATTGTGCCATCTACTTTCCTCCATTTGTGTTCGCCCCCACGACTCGACTTGACGTCGTACGTTCGCCCCCACCCGTGCGAGTGGCGCGTATTGAGAGCTGAGACTTCCGGAGGCGTACGGTACTTTCCTTCCCGGTGCGCCCAGGCGCTAGTTGCAAGACAGCACGTATGTACCGTGCAACAACAATCTGTAAACGTTTCTGATGCACGAATCTACACGAAAAGGGTGGTGGTGGTGCTTGGATCCAGATCATTGTCATCAGCCTTCGCCCATGCCGGCTTCGTTTTCTACTTCATTCGCCTCAGCCCTAGCGTCTCCTCTAAGGAAATGCACAAATATCCCCGAAACCCATTTACAACTCGCACAAACAGCACGTGTTTCGCCCAGAAAACAAACAGGGTCGGCCGATGGAAAAACACCCAGAGCGCTCCAACCGCTTCAAGATCCTGTGGGTCCTCCTCTGCCAACCAAAAAAGGGGAACCGATCAACAAAACGACAACGGTCTTATCACCCAACACTTGATATTTTACAGCACACGTGTACACATGCATAAGGTTCAAACAAACCAACCAACAAGGTTCTCGTTCATCACTCTTCGAAAGGGAACGGTCTCCAACCCACCACACTGCCTTGCACTCACGAAATCAACCGAAAAGGAACATCTTCTACAAGTATTGCTGAGCAGGCCCCTCACAAGAGGCTACAGCGGAACATCCGTATCCCCACGACAACATCCATCCGGAAGCTCACACAGACAACAACCAAACATCAAAAAAGGGGCTCAACGCACATGAAAAAACGACGACAGCAGAACGGCGGACGCATACTTGGCCAACAACACATTGCGTCTTTCCTCCCACCACCCCTACAGTTGTACCACTACAACACGGCTAGGCTCCCGGTACCAGAGAACACGGAGGCGTGCCTGGCAGAGGCGGCGGCGGCCGCAGCGACGGCGGTTTCCAAAGAAAGAGTGCCGGTGCCCCTACCGTGGAAGGCGGCGGACGAAGACAACGTCCCGGTTCCTTGTTGCACAGCAGCAGCGGGAGGCACCGCAGTCACAAAACTTCGGGGCCCCAGTCGGAAATGCTGAGTCGCAGGACGAGCGGGCGACCCGAACACCGGCAACATCATCGCGCGGGAAGAGCGGTAGCGAGAAGGGGCCGCGCGTGAGACGGCTCGTCGCTCCGACGCACTCGTTCGTTCGCCCCCGGTCGCCCGTGCCCGTTCGGCAGCAGCAGCAGCTGCAGCAGCGGTAACGCCTCCGCTTCCAGCACTGCTGCCGCCGCTGCCGCCGCTGTTGCTACTGCTGGTGGTGGTGGTGGTGGTGGTGTATTTTTCTCGGGCTGAAAAGCCGGCCGACGGCGTTTCCGGGGACGGTGCTGAACGACCGCGACGCCCGTGCGAAGGCGCTCTACCACCGTCTTCCACCGGGCAGGGTGGTCGGTACCCCGTCCAACGGCCACCTCCACCACGCTGCCCGCCGTCTCTACCGCCGCCGCCGCATTGGACCCCACGCAATAACTCGTTCGATTCACTACTCCGACCACGGCCCCTGCGGTGAACGCGCGTCTTCGAACCGATCACGTCGTTGCTGGTGGGGTGCAACCCCCAACCGCACTTGTTGCCGTCGACGGACGTGCTGGCGCGACGCGTACTACGCGTCCTTCGTCTCTTTCTGCCATCGTCGCCGCCGCCGCCGCCGCTGCTACTCCTGCTGCCAATCTCGGTCCTTTTCTCCGGCTCACCGCCGTGCCGGGTAGCAGTCGACGATCCCGCCCGGGCGATCCTGTCGCTGCTCGTGCAGCTCCTGCTGCTTCGATTCTCCCGTCGCCCGCGCCGCCGCTGCCGCTGCCGCTCCTCCTCACTCTCCCCCCCCCCCCCC